ACTGCTCCCCCTCCCTCCCAGGCTTGAGAGCCTGGGGGGAGGAGGCAGGGAAGGGGCGGAGTTGAGGCGGGGCCGGGGGTGGGGTAATTAAAAAACGGGGGAAGGGGGGGCGGCCAAAATTGTTTTTGCCTGGGCAGCAAAAATCCTAGAGCCGGCCCTGCCGTTAACAAGTCTCCTCTCAGTCTTCATTTCTCAAGACTAAACACACCCAGATTTTTTAATCTTTCCTCATAGGTCAGGTTTTCTAAACCTTTTGTCATTTTTGTTGCTCTCCTCTGGACTCTCTGTGCAAGACCTCTCTTTTGATGGACTTAAACTCTTTTCAGATTCCACCAATGAATCTCTTCTTACCTTGAAGGACTTGAGGGCCTTACACACCTGCAAAGCAGAGGAAATTTAGTAGAACTCAAACCACATAGAAATCCTGACCAGTCTAGCTCTCTACCTGTCATAGATCTACAGAACCACCTAAATCTGCGACCAAGTGTTAATTTTCATGGTTTTGTCAATGGCCCAGAATTTTCCCCCCTTGGGAATCTTCAGCTTCATCAGCCTACCTACCTCCCACCCTTTAGAGATTGATTGTCCTAGCTTTTGACCTGGGGAACAGATTACATCTGACAATTGGGTCATAAAGGTTGTAAAATCAGGTTACTCTATCTATTTTAAACCCCCCACCTCTCAACCACCCTCCTTCTCCATCCCTTTTCAGGGACCCATCTCATGACCATTATTGGGACAGGAAGTCATCTCTGTTTTACACATAGGGGCCATAGATACAGCTCTAGTCCACCACAGGGGAAGGGATTATAGTCCAAGTATTTTCTGATCCCTAAAAATAACATGGGATGGAGACCGATACCAGATTTCAGACTCCTAAACACCTTTATGATATCACATAAATTTAGGATGGTGACTCTCACAGCTATAATTCTATCATTAGATTCCAGGGATAAGTTTGTGGTCCTTGATCTTCAGCATGCATTTTTTCACATTGCATTTCACCCCCTCACAAGAGGTTTCTTTGTTTTATAGTCAACCAGGATCACTTCCAGTATCGATTGCTTCCGTTCAGCCTCTGGGTGTTCTCAGAGGTTATATCAGTGGTAGCCGCTCACCTATGACAGCTAGGTGTAATCATCTTCCCTTACCTCAATGATTGGCTGTTTAAGGACTCATTGTACCACAAAGTTCTTTCTGCAGTACAGATAACCATGTCTCTATTCTACAGGTTAGGTCTTCAACTCAACATGGAAAAATCCATTCTGACCTCAGTATAGTAGATACATTTCATAGGGATGTCTCTGGATGCTGTAACAGCCAGGGCTTACCTACCTGTTGACAGGTTTATGACCCTAACAAACCTCATCTCCAGGTTTCAAATAAGCCCCCAGGCATCAGAAAGGAGTTGTCTTCAACTGCTATGACTTGTACTTTTGTAAAGCAATATGCCCGGTATATAGCTGGTATATAAACAATCACACCCTCATCTCAACCTGTTACCTTCCAGGCATACAAAACACAATGTCTGACGATCTGAGCAGGCACTCCCTAGATTCCAACTGGGACTCAGACTCTCGAATTCTCAGACATCTTCTTCTCACTTGGGGGCTTCCAGAGGTGGACTTTGCCATCACCACCAACAGGAAGTGCAAGAAATTCTGCTTGAGATATGGGCTGGGTCCCAATCCCTAGGAGACACCTTCCTCATTTTTTGGACGAGGGGTCTTCTTAAGGTATACTCCCCAAAACGATTGATCCTCAGTGTGTTGAACAAGATTAAACACGAAAAGTCAGAATTATTCTAGTTGTACCAACTTGGCAGAGACACATGTGGTATCCTTACCTGATTCGCCTCATTTCTTGTCCACCATTGAGACTTCCAACCATTTTGATTCCAGTCAGACTCTTCATCTCAACTTGAGAATGCTTCAGCTCAGAGCTTGGCTCCCTGATGGTTCTTGGGACTGGAGATTTCAGCAGAAGTACAACAGGTATTGTTAAAGAGCAGGAAGATATCTACCTGAAAAACTTAACATTGAAAATGGAAGAGATTCCATCACTGGTGTGCCCAGGGACAGTTTTCCTCTCTGCTGTTCTCAATTACCTGTCGGAATTTAAAAAAAGATAAGTGTTTCTCTGAGTTCCATCAAGTTTCACTTGGTGGCTATCACAGCCTTTCATTCACTGGTAGAGGGATTCTCACTATTTGCCTACCCCACAACAGCAAGATTCATCAAGGGATTGATTAATCGCTTTCTGCAAATTAAAGGGCCCACCCTTAAACTTGATTCTTAATTCCCTTATGAAACCTCCCTTTGAGACACTATGTGTTCTCTATTTGAGCTATCAATGAAAGAGGCTTTTTTGGTGGCCATCACTTCTGCCAGGAAAGTTGGAGAAATGGGAACTTCAATGGCAGATCCTCCTTTTACATTTTTCTTCAAGGACAAAATTTTAATTGCAGCCACATCCTAAGTTTCTTCCTAAAGTATCTTCTGAATTTCATATTAACCAGGTTATTTATCTTCCAGTTTTTATCCCAAAGCCACACCAGACTAGAGAGGAAACTGTCCTCCATACCTTGGATGTTAAAAGGGTGTTTAACTTCTATCTGGACAGATCCCAACTGTTTAGAAAGTCTCCCAGACTGTTTCTTTTGTGGACAGATCCAAAGGATCCACCCAAAAACGGTCAAGATGGATCTCGGGGTATATTATCTCTTGTTATGAGGCTGCCAGCATTCAGCGTCCTCCTTGAGTTCTACCCCATTCAACAAGGTCCTAGTGTACCTCAGTGGGAATATTGAAAGATGTTCCAGTTCTTGAAATCTGTAGAACTGCAAGCTGGATCTCAGTACATACTTTCTCTAAACATTATGCATTGGTTCATGCGTCCAGTTCAGAGGTTTTGGTTGGCATTGCAATTCTATCTTCAGTGTTAGATCCAGCTCTGAAGCTCCTTCCTCCTTCTAATGATATTGCTTGGGAATCATCTGAAGTGGAGGACCCGTAGGGACAGTACTTGAAGAAGAAGAAGAAGAGGTTACTCACTTTGTGCAGTAATTGGAGTTCTTTGAGATGCGTGTCCCTATGGGTGCTCCACTGTCTGCCCTCCTTCCCCTCTGATTCAGAGTTTTGTCTTGCAGGACTTCACCATAGAGAAGGAAACAAGGGTCATTCACCCATACAGCTCTGTATATCCTCAACACAGGGCATGAGGCTGTCTGGAGTATGTGCGCAGGCCAAATGGGCTCTGCTAACGAAAAACCCTGATCAAAGGCACATGGGGCGTGTGTACACCTGAAGTGGAGCTCCAAAAGGGTGACACATCTCAAAGAACTCATTCTCTTCTCAAGAGAAGACCAAGGCTAGGCATAGGAGGGGAATTCCAGATGAAGGCTGGCGTGCATTGACAGAACTGTGTGATAAAGCATCACAGCACCTGCCTGACCTAAGCTCAGACTTCCTTGAGCAATCAGTTTACATACATCTCAGCTGGAGTACTGTGTCCAGTTTTGGTTGCCAATATATAGAAGGGGTGTAGAGAATCTGGAAAGGATCCAGAGGAGAGTGACAAAGATGATCAAAGGGATGGAACACAAGCCATATGAGCAAAGGACCTGGGTATGTTTAGTTGGAAAAGAGGAGGTTAAGGCGGGGGACAAGATAGCAGTCTTCAAATACTTGAAAGGCTGCCATTAAAAAGGTAGATTAGATGAGTGTTTCAGGGATGCTGTTTTAATTAGTCTCTCCTTAGCCAGTCTCCTGGTTCTGAAGAGGCTTATACTGCAGGTTAAGTTCCAAGAACTGGAATCTGCAGAGGCAGTTTTATGCGAAAGAGGTTGGTTACTCCCTGTAACTGCAGATCTCTGAATACATTGCCTCCACAAATTCACACCCTCCTCACCTCAGAGACTGTTATCCAAACAGGTGAATAGGAATGGAGGGAGCAGGGGTTTCGTTCTTCTTTTTAACCATACTTTATGTGCAAACTTGCATGCAGTGAAGCAGGAGGCCCTAGCTGTACTAACTACTTTAAAAGATTCTGGATTCACATGGTGTGTGACTCCTAACAGGGGAGTTTTTGAGGCAAATAGGTCTGGGCAACTTCATGTTTGGGTAAGTAACCGACTACAGTTTGCTTATTCTTTAACTATGGTGCTAGCAATGAGCCCTGACCTTCAGCATATCCCTCCAACTTTCTTTTGGGCCATTTCTTGAGTAATCTAGTGTTTGAGTCTAGCATAAGAGCCAAATCCTGTGTAAGACAGCCCTCCAAATTCTGGAGTGTAGTGTGAACTTGCAGTTGTAGAAACCCTTGCTTTGCTGTTAATGTCACTGCCACAAGTTGGGGAGAATGTAAGACATACAAATGCTGCCCTCTTGAGAAATTCAAGTATTCATGCCTCTCAAGCAGAAAGAAAAGTGTAGAGAGGAAAAAAAGGCCTCCAGTTTGAATGTATTGGATGAGAATTCTGCTGATTCTGAGCAGAAGGAATGAGTAAATCTTCTGCATCTCATCCTGTGCTTGTCACCATCTGTCTAGCATTTTTAATTAATCAAAGATACTGTAATACTTGCTCATGCTTGTTGGGAAATTAAATTCTCTCAGACTGAAATGGTTTTCACAGTTTGAGTTCACGTTTACATTCCCCTTTTAGGCGTGAAGTTTACAGCCTAGAGTTACACAGGAAAGCTCTAAAAGGAGCTGATCCTCATTTTCTCAAGAGGCCTCTTGGTGAAAGCAAGACCAAGAGTGGTGTGTTCTTTCAGCATAAGAAAAATCATGAGAAGACTGATGTCTGGGGTTTTTTGTTTGTTTTTATAGTAGGGGTAGAGCGGGAATTTAAGTCCACTTGATTCCCTTCTCAATCTGATAAATGGCTGGCTAGCTTGTACTGTGCCTTTGAGGGAGAAGGGAGGGGTGCAGTGCATTTCTATATGTGTGCATGCTCGTCTGTATGTTAAGCGTTTTTTCTGTCTTGTGTCCATTCACAGCTGTGATTAGCGCTCATCCCATCCATTCACTCGATAACCCTCACCATCATTTCCACTCCGGCAGCCTCGCTTCTCCAACTCGCAGCTATCTCCATCATCAGGTCAACCCTTGGCCGATTGGCACATCCATGTCCCATTCAGACAGGGCCAATTCCACAGGTGAGAGATGAATGACCAGGTAGCATTCATTTGAAAGGGAACTATTCACAAAACGTATGTGGAAAACAAAGTTCCAAGGAAAAGCCTCAAGTCATCTTTAGTAGTTTGGATCTGATCAGTCTCCATTGTTCTTATTGTCTCCTTAGAAGTGAGAAAATAACATACTTATGCCTACTGATATTTTTTTCTTTTCCAATGTTAGACAATGAGTCTCCTTGTTTTGATTGAAACTAAAATTAACAAAAATGATTAGGGGTCTGGAGCACATGACTTATGAGGAGAGGCTGAGGGAACTGGGATTGTTTAGTCTCCAGAAGAGAAGAATGAGGGGGGATTTGATAGCTGCTTTTAACTACCTGAAGGGGGGTTCCAAAGAGGATGGAGCTCGGCTGTTCTCAGTGGTGGCAGATGACAGAACAAGGAGCAATGGTCTCAAGTTGCAGTGGGGGACATCTAGGTTGGATATTAGGAATCACTATTTCACTAAGAGAGTGGTGAAGCACTGGAATGCGTTACCTAGGGAGGTGGTGGAATCTCCTTCCTTGGAAGTTTTTAAGGCCGGCTTGACAAAGCCCTGGCTGGGATGATTTAGTTGGGAATTGGTCCTGCTTTGAGCAGGGGGTTGGACTAGATGATCTCCTGAGGTCCCTTCCAACCCTGATATTCTATGATTCTATGATTCTATGTTTGGTTTTTTTGCGTGGCAGCTGCAACTTACCTTGCACCACACCTCATCACAGTGAAAAATGTGCTTTGTATAACCAATTCAGCACTGAGAGCCCATCTCTGGGAATAGTGTTTGCTAGTTCATTACTACTGAAGACCAAGGCTAGGTCTACACTACAGCGGGGGGTCGACCTAAGATACGCAACTTCAGCTACGTGAATAGCGTAGCTGAAGTTGCGTATTTTAGGTCGACTTACCTGGCTGTGAGGATGGCGGCAAGTTGACTGCTGCCGCACCGCCATCGATGCCGCTGCCGCCTCTTGCCGCGGTGGATTTCCGGAGTCGACGGCAGAGCGATCAGGAATCGATTTTATCGCGTCTTCACTAGATGCGATAAGTCGATCCCCAATAGATCGATTGCTACCTGCCGATCCGGCGGGTAGTGAAGACGTGCCCCAAGAATGGAACAGAAGAATTATCAGCTTTATTTTTATTTCTCAGTAATGGAGTGATGAGTTAAGAATGATCAAAATCCCCTTGCATGGTGTCAAGTATCAGAGGGGTAGCAGTGTTAGTCTGAATCTGTAAAAAGCAACAGAGAAATCCCCTTGATACTTATGAAGATTTTGTCCCATTATCTGAATTTTGCATGGGTCAAATGTTGAGCCTGGGATATCAGATAGTGTCCTTTTTTAGCATCTATAGAATCTGAAACCTTGTTTACATTTAATTTGCACACACTTAGAACATTAATAACTTTCCTGGTTGGTTGTGTTAAAACAACAAGAAAAAACATGATCTTTCCTACATAATGTTTTTAAGCTTCAAGCACAGTGGTGTGTAAGTACAATTCTTGCAGTATTCCTATTAAAGCAGCCAGTGCTATAAGAAATATCTAGGCAACATTGCTGTGTATGCTGTAAGAATCACAAATAGTTAAACTTCTTAGGATACAATGAATGCAATGCCTCTAGTCTATTGTTAGGTTCTGAATCCTGATAAGGTACCATAGGCAACAATGAAGCTTGTACTGTTGTTTTCTGGAATGTCTCAGTTCATAGGCAAAGTTTCAAATACCTCATGAAGATGCTAATATGCAGATGAAAGATTGTTTTGTAGTAGAAGGTATTGCTTGTTTTGTTTTGTTTTTTGTACTATTCAAATTATTATGGGAGTAGCAGTTCTTGCAGCCAAGATATTTTCTTGTGCACAGACTAGGTCGGATAGAGTTGCCATAAAAATGCAAGATTCCCTTTCATTGCCCTGCCTTCATGATCCTCTAGAAGATTTTGGTTTCATCTATATATCGCAGTGATTGCTGATATATAAACATCTAGATATTTTTAGTAGTTATAAAGTTGTGGAATGTTCTAGTCTCAAATTAGAATTAAGATGTGCATCGCATCACATGCTGTTTATTCCTTAAGCAAAAGCTGATGATGATGCAGAATTTCACGGTGACTTTGTGATTCGCCATATCGATTGCTTAGGTATTGGGCTGATAATAGTTTCCCTTTGGAGCTATGTACTAAAATGAACTCTTCTCTAATAGTCGACTGACCACCACTTGGCATATTATATCTTGATTGCTGCATCCTATTTAGGCACAGTAACCTAGACAAAAAGACAGAGAAGAATTTAAGTGCACACAGGTAACATTAGGATGAGTGAGGAGAAGAAGTCATTTGTGGGTATGCAATGTGGAAATGTGAATGGGATACACATTTTTAGATATTAAGATTTGAGACACACTGTCGTTAGACCAATATCATAGACCAAATCTATATCTATATCTATAGCAGTGGTTTTGTTTTTCTCCTTGTGTTTCTTATTTGCCTGAAAATAATCTGCAGAAACCTTGTAGGACAGCAAAACCTCTGGTCAGCTGTGGACTCCTTTGGTGCCAAAGCTTGCATTGTCATGGGATGGCTGTTTTTTTGTTTGTTTGTTTTGTTTTTTTTCTTTTGTCTTGAGAAATTTTTATGGACTTACTTCTTAAAACAGGGCAGTTACATAGTATTGGATGTTAAGTGCTCAGGTGATTGTTGATGCATGAATCAGTTCCCTAACTTTAACCAGGATCTTAAGGAAAAGCGCTTGGTAAAGACTCCTGCTTTGGTCCCACGTGGCTATTGGGATGCTGCAAAAGGAAATATTTAATAGCCTATCTGAAAGGAGGGAAAATTTCCGTGGAAGAAAATAAGCCCCATTTTTACTTTTCCATTGTAGAATCTGTTCGAAATACACCGAGCACAGACACCATGCAGGCTTCCTCATCTCAGACATGTTGTGCTGACCATCAAGAGCCAGAAAGTGCCACAGCATCTTATCTGGCCAATGCGCAGGAGGAGGATTCAGGTCAAAGTCTCCCTACTGCCCACGTCCGTCCCTCTCACCCTCTGAAGAGCTTTGCAGTGCCAGCAGTTCCACCCACAGGTTCCACATATGACCCAGCATTGCCAAGCACACCATTATTGACGCAGCAAGGTGAGCAGGGTGGGGTGGAAGGATAAATGACATGATATAGCTCTGAGAATCACAGTGCATATCCAGCACGTGGAGGAGGATAGAGTGACGAATAGTGGAGTTGTCAGTGGAGATAGGTGAGGGTGGGAGAGGAAGGGGATCAAGAGGAAAATGAGGAGATGCTTTTGGGAAAGATTGCACCTGACATCCAAGGAGAGATGTTAGAGAGGCAGTCAGAGATAAGACTGGGCTGAATTTCATACATTTAGTTTTCAAGCACAGCAGTAAACTTCATCTTCAAGTATTTGGATAATCCAAAGGGATGTTCAACTCCAGCGTTCATTAATTTGAAGCATTAGTTCTAACCCACTGGAAAACAGTTGTAATCTGATAGAACCCTTTTGATCTGGCCAATTCAAGATCATTCTCCGCACTGTGGCAATGCTGCTGACATTCCCATAACCACCTTCTCCATCTGGACAGGGAAATTATGGCTAAGAGTATAAGTTCCCTGTAAGTTGCATGGCCACGCAGTAGCCTATTTTAGCGCCACACAGGCGCTCAGGGAGCCCCCACCTAGCCCAGCCCCCCACCTAGCCCAGCCCCCAACCTGCCATGGAAGGGGAGTCCCTCCCCTGGCCCCAACTCAGCCTGCAGCCCGGACCTGCCACAGCTGGGGCCGTGTGGCCGGATTGGGACCAGATCGGCCGGGGCGGCGTGGCCCAGGCCGGCCCCGGAGTGGCCCAGACCTGGCGGGGTGGCATGGCCCGACCCTGGATTGGCCTGGACCCAGCTGCAGCCAGGGTGTGGCCCTCCCCAGGCCCAGACCTGCTGGGGTCGGGAAAGGGGTGCCTATCCTGCAGCCCCAGAGCTCCTGCGGTGGGAAGAGGCGCCTCTCCCCCCCGTCCCAGGTGCTGCCTGCGGGGAGAGAGCACTGAGGGGAGTCCTCTCTCCCCACCGTGGCCCCGCAGCACCTTCCTGCACTCCAAACCCCTCAGCCCTGGCCCCACCCCAAAGCCCACATCCCCAGCTGGAGCCCTCACCCCCTGTATTCAACCCACTGCACCAGCCGTGAGCCCTCATCCCTGGCCCCACTCCAGAGCCCACACCCACAGCCGGAGCCTTCACACCCCTGTACCCCAACCATCTGCCCCAGCCCTGAGCCCCTTCCCACACTCAGAACCTCTTGGCCCCACCTCCACCACATGAATTTTTTTATGTGCACCAATATGAAGGTGTTGTGTCACACATCACCTCCATATTTATGCACATAACAGAATTCATTCTGCACATGGGTGGGAAAAATTAGAGGGAACACTGCTAAGAGTATGTAACATTTTTGCTTTAAGCTTCTAACCATCCAGTTCACTCGGTGAAGACTGCGTCAATTGGGACTTTAGGGAGAACTCGACCGCCTGTGCCAGTGGTAGTGCCCAGCGCTCCCGATGTGCAGGAGACCACCAGGATGCTTGAGGACTCAGAAAGTGTAAGTGTATTTAGAGCTTTCTTGGCAGCACTTACCACAGCATGACAAACCTCCCTGGATGCCTGCAGAGAGCATTATAGTAATGCTAACTATAAGGAAGGAGATTTCAAAGGCATAAAAGGCAGTTAGGCACCCAGGTCAGGCACTCAGGTATAAGAACCTATATAGACTAGACTAGAACTCCCATTGACGGTCAGTGGGAGTTGGGCTCTGAACTGTCTTTTATGCCTTTGAAAATCTCACCCAGGGCAAACTCCTTTTATATTTTGTGGTGAAGTTAAGGACTTACTACTTAAATTTAAGGCCAAATAGTGATTGTTAGAGCCAAGCCTATGGTAATGCTCTGTCAGTATACTTCTGCCTTGGTGTGCACTACTCCCTCTGTTCCACTCCAGGAGCCTTCCTGAGCAGAGATTGACAATTTTACCAAATGCAGCAGAACCTCAAGTTAACAAGCCTCTCAGTTACGTGAATGTGGGATAATGTTGTTCCCCCAGGCTTCCTGCACAGTTAGCTGAGGAGGAGGAGTTGTCCAAGCCTCTGGTTTTCCCCTAACCTGTCTTGATGAAAAGAGGAGCAGGGTAAAGCGGAGCTATGTTAGACTTCTGCACTGGACTGTATGTGCCAAAGAATTACTGACCAGAGTGGGAAGCCCCAGCGAGCATTGTTTGCTTTCCTGGAAAGCCACTGCTGCTTCACATGCTATGATCTTGCCCAAGCTGGCATTTCATTTCCCTACAGTTGTTGTGAAAGAAGGCTGTGCCTGGATTTAACTGTTAATAGAAATCCCATAGCTGTAATCTCATGCAGCACAACCATGTTACATCCCAAGGATGAAGAGTGGGGGTGACAAAAGGGGATAGTTGAGGATTAGAATCAAAACACTTAAACCTGTGACCCTAAATCCATATTTAGGCTCCTGAATGAAAGTGGCTTGATTTTCAAAGATGTTGAGCAACCCTAGCTCCCATTGAAGGCTGTGGGAGCTACAGATGCTCAGCATCTTTGGAAATCAGGCTTTTTTTTTTTTTTTTGGTAAGTGAGCAGTCTAACTAGGCATCCAGCTTTGAAAATGATAGCTAAAAATCCTTTGTAGCTGACACTACCATAGCACTGCTTCAAATCATTATCCTTGATGTACTTAGTGTTGTGGGTGCAGAAAATGTTTAATTTGAAATTTCTGTTTTTCTTCTCTTTTTCCACTTTCCCTGTGTTTTTTCTCTATCACACTGTATTTGTCAATAATTCACCCTTTTTGGTTTGATTTCTGTATGTTTTGTTGTGGTTTTGTTTGCATGCGCGATTCTGGTGCACGCTTTGCCCATCTGTCTCTTACTCCTTTCATCACTTTTGCAAAATTCCGGCATTTGAAAAATGGTTGGTGGTTTCAATTTGTGCATTCACATAACCATCAAAACTTGGCTTTGCCTGTCTATGATTTATAGTCATATTGTATACCAGAGTCATTGATCATGCTTCCTCCCACTCTTCCTTAAAGAGCACAGCTCATCTTGTCCAGTAACCCTCTTAAATCTCCTGCAGAACTATGAACCGGATGAGCTGACCAAAGAGATGGCCCACCTGGAAGGACTAATGAAGGACCTTAATGCCATCACTACAGCATGAGCATCTTCACCAGGACATGACTCCAAATCCAGTTTCACAAGTCTTGGAACTCAGCCTTGGAACACAAGGAATTGTACAGAGAAAGAGAGGGACAGCACACGAGAGCAGACGTAGAAAGCAAACAAACCAACTGGTGCATTAATGCTAATGCTGGTTAAAAAAGATGACTTTTCTCCTCCTCGTCCTGAAACAAAGTCATTGCTAAGTTGAAGTCTTGTTTGCCTGCTGAGACCATGCAGGATGGGACACTTCAGGTGAAATCTAGTGTCCAAGCAAGAGGGGGGAAAAAATCAAATGGACTTTACATTCTTTTTCTGGTCAGGTTTTGTCTCAGTGGTGTGATTGCCCTGCCTTTTCAGTGTTGGACATTCGCATTTATGTACAATTTTATTTGTGTGTTTTTATTTTATTTTATCTTTTTTTATAAAAAGGAAAAAAATTGTGTAATCTGAAAAAAAAGAAAAACGTTGTTTTCCACAGCCTAGACTGATGTTTGACTGCTTGTTCTATTGTGTGTGGAAATTCATTGCCAGTGTGGGGTATTCTGTTTTGGTTTTTTTATTCTGCATATAATTACACCCCCTTCCAGCAGTTAATCCATGGCCATTTGGGATGCTGCATTGCTATTTGTAAGCTCTTTTATTATTTTTATATTATAATTATTAAAAGCCTGACTTTCTCCTCTCATCACTGTGAGATTACAAATCTGTTTGAATTGAAATGTAACATTGAAAGACTTGTTTGTCGCTTTTTGTGCAGTTTCAATACTTTGATGGGGGAAAAGTTAATGGGGAAGGGGGAGGGGAGCCAGGGGCTAATGGGAGGTTTCCTTATTGTTGTTTTCCAGTCTTCATATGTTCACTAAAATACTGAAGAAAATGAAAGCATCTTCTGTTATGTCCTTTCTTGTAACTTAATTATATCTCTGGTTATTAAATTGCAGTGGGAGTGTCATTTAGAACCATTTTTTAAAAGTTCCTCTTATACAGTAGGATTCCTTATGTACAGATGACATCACCATTTATTTTGGCAACAGTGCTTGGATTTATTGTTAGCTATAATTTTAAAGATCCTACAGATCTTAAAACTTTTAAGTGCAAATTGAGCATTATTTCAGCTCTTAGAACATACAGCAGTCAGCAGTGCACAGTTTGCACAACACTTCTCCGCTGCTAGGGTGCTTAAATCTGGGGTTTAAGTGCTGGCATATCCTGAAGCAGAGAAAGGTGGAGCTCTTGTAATCCAGCAGGATAGCATGCCTTTGGAAACAATCAAACCCCACCCATAGGATCTTTTAACTAGATAAACCCCACCCAGATGCTCTTTCAGCTAGATCAACCCTAGTGTAGTTTTGCTGTCCCAGGCCATTTAAACAGTGCTTTGAAAAGAATCTTAAATGTTCAACTACAATCAAGGCAAAATGTATTTTTCTACATATTTAAAACCCGTTGAAAAATCAGTGTTAATGACTCAGGTGCTGTTCACACATCTCTCTAGGAGGGGGAGGGAAGTTAAAAGGGAATTCCTGCATGAGGAGAAAGTGGTGGGGCGAGGTAAGTGAAGTGTCTTCTTTTTCCTCCTTGCACACTCACTGCCATGTGGTACACCAGCATGCTTGGCTGTGCCACACTCGGCAATGGTGACTGGCCTGAGGAGTAGTGTTTGATGAAATCTCAGCTTCCCATGGAACTCATATACACACTTTTTTGAAGAAAGGAAAACAAGAACTTACTGATGGCTTTATATGGAAAATCTATTCTGCCAAAGCAGGTTAATGATAGGAGAGGTGAGGTGAATAGCACTTCCAGTGGGCACAAACTGGCTCTCTGGGAGACACTTGCACCTCTCAGAACATTGAGCAGGCAACATTAGGATTTATGTAATAAAGAAAGCAATAAGACTGCATATTCTTTTTCTTCTATCCATTGGATTAAAAGCTGACCCTCTAGGCTTATGGTTTGGTTCCTGACGCTGAGAAGGGACGCAATGAATCATCCTGGAAAGTAGCTGGGACTTATTTGGGATTTGACTTCCTTTCTTTTCCTAGACTCCTCGTGTGTTGCCATTTCCAGCGGGTTTGCTGGTATTATTTATTATTTGGGTGGGGGATGGGGGGCATTGGTGAAAAGTGCAACATTTGAGTACCCCGGGCCACCTGAAAATAGATGTTCAGGCCTTTGTCAATACAATTCAGGACAAAATAAGCTACAGAACTTGTATTTAATGAACAAAACACACACACTTGGATGCACATGTTGCTTGTAAGGGTGGTGTGTGTTTTCCTCTGATCTATACCCAAAGAAATGCCATCATGTGTATTCAGTACTCTTAGCTTGTGGGTCTTTGTGAATATTACTTATGTACAACACAGGGAATGTTAATATTGCCATTGAATTTGGGGTGGGGGCTAGTATATTTTTACTGATAAAACAACTTTTCAAAGTTGTTGTTTTTTAAGGTTAAACTAAAAGAAATGCTCAAATCAGTGTACAATCTGTATTGCACTTTTTCACATTTTAATGCTACATTTTCTTACATATCCTGTGATTTTGAATTTGGAACATTGTGTATCTTGTAGTGTCGTAGTTAGGCTGAAAATGGCAGCTTCCTTCAGAAGGATTTGGGAAAAAACAAAACAACCCAGTATATGGTTTTATGATTCTGATGTAGGAGAATTTTGAGGACTGCTGTAGAATTCTACCTTTCTGTACAATTTTTTTTCCTTTTCTGTAGTATTTGCTGTATACTCTATGGCTTTTTTAATAACTTCATGTTTATTATTTAGTATTGGATATCCAATACACATTTTTTAATCCAATCAAATTCTGGTCTGCTTGGAGAGTTTGTTCCCTTTGTTCATTCCCATATATCAAGGCTGATTCCCCACTCTGGCACTTCGAGTGCAGATGGTGGGGGCCCGCAAGGATACTAAAAATTAATACTGGCCACTCCAGGCTTATATTAAACTCCCAAGGTTACAGCTTTTCTCTGACCTTGGATTGGTAGATGCTGCCATCACCCAAGAGCAGAACCCCTTTGAGAGCCCAGGAAGGCACACTTGGGAATTCCTTCCTGTGGGGTATCCTCAAGCCCTTTCATCCCCCCCCCCCTCCAGGGAAAAGCTGAAAAAAAAAAAAAAAAAAAAAAAAAAAACGAAATCAGCTGTTGCCACCAGCTAATTAAACAACATGAGAACAAACCTCTTAAGATACAAAAATCCAATTCTGTTCTAAAAAAGGTAAATTTTATTAAAAAGAAAATACATCTGGAAACTCAAGCTATTGCTAGATTTTAAAAGAGCAATTATAAGGATTAAGCACCAAAAATAGCTTTCTTGGTGTCCAGTTTAAAGGTTACAAGCAAAACAAAAGCACCTGGGGTTAGCACAGAGGAATCCACAAGCCATAACGAAATAAAAGGAATAAACCTGATCGTGTCTTCCTAGACATTCCTGATCTACTTATGTATCTGGGGTTTGAAATGAGTAGTTCCTAGGTATGAGACTGTTGATTTTTCATATCTGACCCAAGCTCTTACAGCATAGGTGCTGCCCTGTCTACCTCTCCCTGGGAGAACAACAACAGACAAACAAAAGAGGAGTCTTGTTTCAATTTTAAAAAATTCTAACCTTCCCATTGGCTCTTTTGGCCAGGTGCCCACTCACCTCCTTTTACCTATGCATAGCAGTGAGACTTTTTAACCCTTTTCAGGTAAAGCAATTAGAGAACAGCTACTAAGAGGGATTTTATAGCTACTGGCTGGCTGGGTGTCCATAAAAGGGAGCTACCCCTCCTTCATTTATCACACCATACCTGCTAGTTTTTAACGCTTTGGGTGACCCAGGATTGAATTTTACTCATACCTGTTTTTCCTTCTGGGTTAAATGGGTGGACCAGCGCAGGGTTGAGGGGCTCCAAGGGAAAAGGCAGAAGCATCACGTTACTGGCAGTGGGGTGTGTTTCTCCAACATGCACACAGTGTCTTTGCACTTAACTCCCCTACATTTCAGAAACTCAACAGCATAAATCTCCTCTTCCAACAAACTTGCCCCATAATGAGAGTATTTCAAAGCAATGAAGTATGCTATGGAAAGTGTCCTTAATACAATAAACCCATAAATCCATAGAAAAACAGAATTCTAATGCTTTGCACTTAGCCGTTTGTATCTGTAGATTTCAAAGTGTTTACAATGTGGGGTAAGTATCCTTATTTTACTGATCAGAAATAGAGGTAAGTTACTTCTCAAGCCAGTCACCTAGCTACTTCCCTGGCAGAGTCTGGACTAGAGCCCAGATCTCCTGGCTCCCTGCCCTGAATGCAGTCTACAAGACCAGACGGTCGCCAGCCCGTGATGAGCAATATTCCATGTTTTACATTATTGGGATGATCTCTCCAAGTGCTTCCCATTTTCACACTCACCTCAAGCCTGGTTCTCCTAGGATACGTCTACACAGCCCATGAGAGCTAGCCTCTGACCCAGGGCAACAGAGTCAGTCTGATTCTGATTGTTTCCACTTAAGCTTTGGCGATGTGTTGAGGAATTAGAGGGGAATTGGGCTCCAACGTGTTTCTAGGGAGCTACCTTTAGTACGACAGCTGACCAGGGACTTTGTGGGTATATAGGAGACAGGGAGTTTACAAAGAAATTTACCTCATTTTTGTACAATGGTGCATTTATCAAACAGCCCATGAATGTTGCATAATCTATACCTAAACCAGACAGAGAAAAGGTTGAAAAGGCTAAGCAAACACCTTGCCTAAGTTTAAAAATGGAAAGAGATGGCTGTTACATTGGTCACTTCAGGTAATTTGATGGTATTGGCTTTGCAACTTAAACTAAACTTGATACAAATTTTATAAGGTGGAGGGAGGAGAAGTGACCTTTAGAGGGCAGAGGTGATCTTAAGTCTCTCACAAGAAAAATTTCTCAGGTTGGCTGGCTACTAACTCCCACAGACTGGCAATGACAAGGCATAAACACCAGAGGGCAGCTAATCCCACATATACCTCACAGTTAAACATAGCACAGGGGTAGGCAACCTATGGCACGCGTGCCAAAGGCGGCACATGAGCTGATTTTCAGTGGCAATCACACTGCCTGGGTCCTGGCCACTGATCCAGGGGGCTCTGCATTTTAATTTAATTTTAAATGAAGCTTCTTAAACATTTTAAAAACCTTATTTACATACAACAATAGTTTAGTTATATATTATAGACTTATAGAAAAAGACCTTCTAAAAACGTTTAAATGTATTACTGGCATGCAAAACCTTAAATTAGAGTGAATAAATTAAGACTCAGCACACCACTTCTGTAAGGTTGCCGACCCCTGACGTAACTTCATTATTGGAAAAACTTATAGCATGTGATCATCCATCAAATGAGTTATTTGCATTACTATAGCATCTAGGAGATCTAGTCATGACCAGGACCCATTGTGCTAAGTATTGAACAGACTGCTGATGCATTCAACACTGCATCCCCCTGTCACTGTATTGTTAGGCCATAGCATTGCACTGATTTAATCTAGAGTGTTAATTTAAACCAGTTTAGTTAAACCATGCAAACTCCTGTATGTCAGGGCCGGCCCACAACATTTTGGCACCTGAGGCGGGGAGCTCAAATGATGCCCCCATGCCCCCTCGCGTGGGCCAAAACTTTGAAAGGTCTCAATTCTGCCTTCTTCCTGTTCTACTCCTCTCAAGGTACTGCTCTGCTACCTACCCCAATAAAGGAGAACTAACAACTTAAAATGCCTTGTTCAAAAAGTTTTAAGTAACACTTAACTTTCAAACGCCTAAACAGCAAATGTAACTTTTCTTGTCTGCATAGTAAACACTGGCATTTTTATCTGTTTGAATAATCAAAGTGGTGCTTTCCGTGCCTTCTTGGTTGCAGAGATTTGAACTGCTTCCTGCTGAAGGTCCACAGTCTGGGCCAGCTCATGCTCTGTTGAGATGGTTGCAAGGCCGACCAGCCTCTCCTGTGTCATTGTGGAGCATAAAAAGAACAGGAGTACTTGTGGCACCTTAGAGACTAACAAATTTATTAGAGCATAAGCTTTCGTGGGCTACAACCCACTTCTTCGGATGCATATAGAGTGAAACATATATTGAGGAGATATATATACACACATACAGAGAGCATGAACAGGTGGGAGTTGTCTTACCAACTCTGAGAGGCCAATTAAGTAAGAGAAAAAAAACTTTTGAAGTGATAATCAAGATAGCTCAGTACAGACAGTTTGATAAGAAGCAAGTGTGAAAATACTTACAAGGGGAGATAGATTCAATGTTTGTAATGGCTCAGCCATTCCCAGTCTTTATTTAATCCTGTGTTGATTGTGTCTAGTTTGCATATCAATTCCAGCTCAGCAGTCTCTCGTTGGAGTCTGTTTTTGAAGTTTTTCTGTTTTAAGATCCATAAACCTGGAAATCCTGGACGCCCCATCATTTCAGGCATTGGCACCCTAACATCAGGCTTGTCTGGTTATGTGGACTCTCTCCTCTTACTTAATTGGCCTCTCAGAGTTGGTAAGACAACTCCCACCTGTTCATGCTCTCTGTATGTGTGTATATATATCTCCTCAATATATGTTTCACTCTATATGCATCCGAAGAAGTGGGTTGTAGCCCACGAAAGCTTATGCTCTAATAAATTTGTTAGTCTCTAAGGTGCCACAAGTACTCCTGTTCTTTTTGCGGATACAGACTAACACGGCTGCTACTCTGAAATTGTGGAGCGTAGATTTTTTTTATTAACTTCAGCTTGGAGAAGCTGCATTAGGGGGGCTGTGTTGGTGAGTATCTGAGTGTCTGTTGCTGGGACAGTTTGTCAGTTTGACCGTGTGCTTGATTGCTTGCTTGTTTGTTTGAAAAGTGTGAATTGGGAGTGCTTTGTTCCAGGTGGGCCTTGAGTGGGCCTGCCTGGTATATAAGGGCAGTCAGCAGCGAACCAGCTGAGCGGCGAACAGCAGAGGCTAACAGAGGGAGTTTGCCTGGGGAGAGCTCACTGAGGCTTTCATCTGTGGGTTTCTCTGACTAGGTACTGCAACAGCCGAGGAAGCTCTTAAGAGGAAGGTGATATGGAAGGTGAGCGATCAGCTGTTGTAACCTGCACAGGTTGTGCCATGTTTGTCTTTCTTCCACAGGACAGAAGCGACTTTGTCTGTACAAAGTGCCAAGCTGGTCTCCATATTGGAAGAGAAGGTTCTTCTTCGAGTGCTTGCTCATATCGATTCCAATTAGGTGTGTGCGCGCCGCGTGCACGATCTTCGCAACATTTTTCTACCCTAGCAACACCCGGTGGGTCGGCTGTGGAGCCCCCTGGAGTGGCGCCTTCATGGCGCTGGATATATACCGCAGCTGACCCAGCGCCCCCTCAGTTCCTTCTTACCGCCCGTGACGGTCGTTGGAACTGTTCTCCACTCTCCTAGCTTTACCCGTTGTTTCTTGTAGATAGTTGTTAATTGTGTTCTTTAAATTAGTAGTTGTTAATAGTTATAAATAGTTTTTCGTAGTTAGCGGGGGTTAAGGGGGCTCTTATTCCCCCCTTCCCCCCCCCGGCACACAGCCGGGCTCATGCCCAAGGCTCCCGGCTTTAAGCCGTGCGCGACACGTGCTAGGCCTATGCCAACGGGAGACCCCCATGACTCTTGTCTAAAGTGCTTAGGGGAGTCTCACCAAACGGACAAGTGCAAGATTTGCAAGGCTTTCAGGCCAAGGACGAAAAAGGAGCGGGACTTTAGGCTTAAGCAGCTCCTCATGGAGGCGGCACTTAGCCCGGATCCTCCTTCAGCGCGCCAGCTCCAGC